TGTTCACACTTACAGCTCTACTGTTGTTTTTTATTTCTATAAATATTTAACGGAGACTGTGCAGATATGGAAAAACATCACACACTTTAAGTATAAAGGACGGCAGTTGAGGAGTTTAAACTGTTGGGTAACTTTTTCTTTTAGATAAAAAACAAAATTAAATAATTAAGTTTTTCTTTAAATTAACACTAAAATTTAGTTTTAGAAAAGCCAATCCGATTTGATGGAAAATATGAGATGAATAATTGGTATCCACGATTATTTATTATTAGTTTTAGAAATGTAATGTGATTGTTACCCAACTTGTTACCATCCTAGATGCAGCTTATAAAACTAATATTAACTTGTATTTAAGGTGAAATTTATTTCAAGAAGCTCGTATTATATTATCAATGTAGAAATTTTAATATTTTTAATTGATTAAAATTTATTATGAATGTGATTTTATGATGTAATTATTATAAAATTCAATAAAAGTAATAGTATAGCAATTACAGAGTGAACTATTTATTTTGGCAGATGAGGAGAAATAGGGCATAAATTGTTTAGCTAAGATGAACTTGAGTAAAAATTGAGAAAAAGAAAATATATTTTAATAAAATATACCTTAACCCTAAACCCAATAATATTTAAAGGTGAGTCCATCGTTATCTCCAAAACCACCACATGGCACTAATGAACTACAGAAAGCAAAGAAGAATGAATGAAAAGAATTATGGAAATGTTTATGAACTTGATGACTAAGTTAAGGAAGTTTTTATGTTGTATTGTATCTTGTTGTAAAGTGGATTGTAAGTATAATTTATTTTTAATTGATATAAGATCTTTAATATTTTAATGTATGTATTTAAGGGTGTAAAATTAATCTTCCTCATGTTTTCATCACTCAATGCATCCTAAGTTTACTACACTCCTCCCTTTTGTAACTTACTTTCTTAACTTATACCGCTATATAGATTTCCACTTATTAATAATTATAAATTTGTTTTTATCTTTATGTAAAATTTATAACACAGTTTTAATCGATTTGTTTTTTTTCTCTCAACTCGTATTAATTGAATTCTTAGCGAAATATAATCAACGAATTTTAATGCTTTCGAATTTGATGATCTTAAATTATGTTACATGAATGCATAAAAAAAAAAACCTTTTTAGTCGATTCAATTAAATGAAAATATATTTTATAATTTCATGTAGAATTACGTTTGTAAAATTACAAATTGACATTAATTCAATCGTTAAAATTTACACTATTTCTTACTACTTAATATTTGAAATAAAGTTTACAGATATAAATTTGAAACAAAAGCATAGAGTAAAAATAAATTTCCTCTAACCCGATTTTTTAGATTTTATTTATTTATTTAAAAGTACCTTTATAATATTAAAACAGTTTATATAATACTAGTAAAAATATTTGGGAAAAGCACGTCTTTAGCATCTCAATTTTAGATATTTTTAGTTTTGATTTTTATACTTAATTCCTAAAATTATTGTTTTTAATTCTACTTTTAGTGATAGAGACTATCGATTAGTTAGAGTGTGAAAGACGACTGGTTGTCTTGCATTCACACATCAGGAACGTTCACATTTATATTTCCAAATCCATTTTAAATCTTACTTCTTTCTACTCCTTAGTTTGAACGCAGATCACTGTCGTTTTAATGATTGTGACACGTTACACTTTCCCCAAAAAAGTTGACATTAATACCCTTTTTTATACTTTTATAATTAAACACGTGAATGAACCCTATCAATTCTGAACCCAAAAATCTTATTACATTGAGTATTGGATTTGTGGTCCTCATGACAGTTTAGTTTCGCATACGTTAATTATAATAATTTTAAATACCATATTTTTAATAATTCAGTTCTTTATTCATATTTTGATTTTCGAATGAAATGATATTATTATTACTTTTTTGAGATTAATATTTTATAACAATTTTGTTGTTAAAAAATTTCAAAAAATACAAAAAATATTTAAACTATCTCTTAAACAATACGATATTATTATCTCACGTTAGAAGTATAATATAATTTCGAAAAGGATAATGATATTTTAACAATATTTTAACATTATTTACGTGTCATTATGTAATTGATCCAAAATTACTTCATAATCAATAACAATAATCATAGACATTATAGACCAATTATAAAATGACACGTAAATAGTATTAAAATGTTGTGAAAAAATGTTATCGTAATTATCATTATAAAAATCTTATAACCGCGTTAAACATCTTTTCAGAAGCTGAATGAAACGACGTCACAAAATTCCACTTCTCCACAATTTTTATGGGTGTGTCCACACTTGAACAATTTCTGATGTATGAAAAAGGAAAAAAAAAGGTGACAATGAACAAGTTGGTAAAGTCGTTGTAATTCAATCGCATTTCTCAAATGAAAGCGAAATTCAAATCAATCATGTAGAAGAAACGCAGAAGTAACTAACTATACCATCCTATATACCTAAATCAATTCCATTAACTGATAAAATATCATATTCCTCGTATATTCTTGTACGTAACTAATGGCTACCATTTTTTATTATGTTCTTATATATTAAAAAGTTATAATATATCAATATTAATATGTTTTTAAGATACATGTTTACATCTTCGACTTCATTGTTCGTTCATTAGACTCTAGGCACAAACTTTCATGATTATATATATATATATATATATATATATATATATATATCAATATTAAACTCTAGGCACAAACTTTCATGATTAGATGAAGGTTCACATGTATGTATACTCTTAGTCAAAACGGCGGCAAAGGTTAGCTAATTTTTAGTCAATCATTGGACACATTATGCTGAAAAAATAGCTGAAAAAGTTGAAAATTGATCTGCTGTAAATCAAGTTACTTAAGAAAATAAATCTTAAAAAAATACTTTAATTTTACTTTTTATTTTATATTATTTTGATAATAAAAAATTTAATGAATTTTTTTAAAGTTAAATTAGACTTACAGATCTATTCTCATACTAGTTATCGGTTCTTCTTAATTTTATACTTGATGTTTTTAGTAGAAGTGTATTAATATCAACTAAAGTTTATATAAGTGAAAAAAACATTATTTTAATGAATTAATGTTGTGAAATGAAATTTATATTTTTTCCCTACTTTTATAAATATTTGTTTTTTACACTAAAAATTAACAATAATAAAACTTGTTGCATAAATTAACCGATGTTGGTGTATTCTCCATAGAACATAAAATAATATGTAGAGAGCTGAAAGAACATTACTGTAGGCTGAAGTTTTGTGAAAAAGCAGGCCAAGGCCCAAAAGAAAAGGATGTTGTAGAGATAGGAGGCCCATGTTTGTGGTTTGGGCTTGGGATGTGTAGGTGAGATGATGTAATGTACATCGTCATGATGATGAAAGAGTGAGGTGGAGAGGAAGGAGATGGGTGCATAGCATATGGGTGCACTTGAGTATATAATGTAATGGAGAAAGTGGTCCATCAGCCACGCCACATCCATCCACATGAATGTCTGCCATAACCTTCTGACAACACCTTCTTTGCTTTTCAATTCAATCTTACCAAAGTTAATCGGGGTAACACTACTGCCACACACGTTTACATTCATCACAGAATATAAGAATATAAAGATAAAATAATTATAAAAAAATACTTTTATATTTTTTTTAAAAAAGAAAAAAATAATAAAAAATAATATCAAATGAATATAAAAAAATTAAGTGTCTCAAACAATCATTTTTCCAATCAATATTCTTTCCCACCATACAAACTTCTCCCTACAAAACATCAACATTAAAATATCTCTCCATGCATCTTCGAAATCCCACAAATACAAATTTTCAACAAAACAATTCAAAATGAGTCAACTCTCACTTACATAAAAATAATAAAATTAAATATTATATATATATATATATATTATACAATAATTTTAACAATATTTTAATATAATATACATGTCATTTTTTTTCACTAATTCACTATTTATATATTATTGAGTCTAACGATAAAAATAACATTATAATGTGGCAAAATGTTATAAACAAATCTGTATTAACATATCATTTTTCTAAGAAAAAAAACACATCAACCCAATAAATAGATATTTTTAAGTTAAGAATGATATCAATATTTATGTTATTTATGTGAGTTGGACTCACGTGACTTATATCTAATATCTTAATAAATTCACTTAAAAGGAAAAATAAAAATACATCATAAATAGTTACATCCATTAATATACTCCTATAAATTATCACTTCCTTCTATATACTCAAACTTTTAACTACCTCATTTTACTTCTACATACATCTCTCCATGCAAATTTGTCAGAAGGTATATATTTATTATTAACGGAGCATGATATCGTTTAGATAAGCTTGAAAATTACAAAAAGATGGTGGAACTGCATAAACTAAATAGATGTATTTTTGAAAGCCGGTCCTGCTACTGATATGTTTCAACTAATGTTAACAAATTAAAATTATGATTTAGGGTTACGCAACACATAGTTTTACAACATTGTTTATTTTGTTCATAATATCACACACACACACACACACATTTCTTTTCCTTTTATTCCTACAGGCATTAAGTTTGTTGAGATCATCGTATGTTGTCTATATAATCAGCTGCAAATTCCAGATTGAAAGTCATAAGAAACGAGTTTGAATATTATTTGCACGACATTTTAAACAAGAACAACGCATTTCTATAATTACAGTACTTATATATATATATGTATACTCCATATCGCACAAAGCTAATAAAAAGCTAGGACACCCTGGGGGAATATATGTCTGACGGGAGTTGTTAAAAGAGCATTTCCTGAGGGAATATAATCTCGTCTTCATTAATATTTTATGCATCTTTACATGCTTTCAAGCAACTTTATAAATGAATAGTATTTCTGTATCTCTGAGCTTATATTCTTGTAATTTAAATAAACAAAGGAAGGCTGAATGTAAATTAGTCATATAACAGCAAAACTATAACCAAAAGAATTTCAGGTGGATCATCATAATGCATATTTAGAAGAAGCAAAATGTTTGAAGAATACCAAATCCTCCTACCTAGATCAGAGAGAGTACATATTACCATGTTATATATATTATATAATCTCATCCACAAATATTATTATGTTTAAAATCCTCTGCCGTATATGCGAGTGCCCCAGTCATTTTGGCTCACAACATCTTGGGTACAAGACACCGGCATCAAGCATAACCCTCTACTCTTCAACTCCTTTGCTTTATCTTCAGCTTCCTGCACATAATAATCGAATTAATATACCTTATTTTCATAAATCAACCATGAAAAGTTTCTCAGTTAATTTCTACATTCATTTTTCATTCTGCACTATGATGAATGACTCATAAGAATATATGCATCTCCAATATCCAAGCATCAAACGGTAAAATGAAGAAGAATATACTAAACTTGTTCTTTTACGTACCTGGTTTGTAGCTCCTTTTCTTTTCAGGCCATTATTCTCTTTCAGCAGCTAGATGGGAATAGAAAAGAGGGAAAAAAGTAAAAAAATAAAATCAAGTAAGAATCCTTTTTTGACATCAAATAAGCAATTCAGCCTTATCTCATGCGTAAAAGGATGTAATGAAAAGCTGAGAAATTTCCTTGTTTCAACTTTATATACTTTACATACAAATATAGGTAATTTTTTTGTCCTTCTCAAACTAGTGTGTGTCAAGTCTTTGGGAAATGGGTGCTTACAGACTGTTGATTCCTCGTGTTTTTTGATACATCTTCCAAGTAAGGAGAACTGAGTGCCTGAATCCAAGGATGGGAAAAAGGAATAAAATTTTATAACGCCCATAACTGATAAGAGTGTTTTTTGCAGAAAGCATTCTCAATATTGGTAAAAATTTAAGTGCATGCTTTCACCCATTCTGAATAGCTTACATTATAATTAGTAAACATAATACATGTACGAGAAACATCACCTCGATTTGACCCTGCAGGAACCTTATATATCCAATGGCTTCTAACAAGACAGAAGCTGTGTCAGTCTGCAAAAGTGAAGCACATCACAAAATGTTGAAAGTGAAGTTCCAAGCAATGCAAAAATATATAGAGGATTGAAAAGAATGTTCATGGGGATTTCTTAAACAAAACACTTGTGATAATGGTTTCTCTTACGGTTTTGTTTATAATAATAATAATAACTGAACAGTTATGTATGGTTGAGTTGATTAATTACCTTTCCAAACGGGGAAACTAGTTGGTGAAGTGTTGTTATTCTATCACTTAGCTTCTCCTTCCGAACCTGATTAAGATTCATACATGAAAATCATTACATGAATGTATGCTTTTCTCTCTTCCAACAATTATTTGGCAGTAAAAGAATATTAATCTCGAATACAGACAACCGAGAAAGACAACAATAACAAAACTTTCAAGACTCACCACGCCTGAGAAAGATATAAGGAAAAAACGAAGAGGGAAGGAGTCACCTTGATAGGTGCTTGACTTGAAGATGACTGAACCCTAGCTTTCTTACAAACACCAACTGTGGCTGTGCTATTACACTTTGAGCATGACAAAGAGAAGGAGTTAAATTTGGACGACAGACATAAGAAAGAAGTAACAAGAATGATGTTTAGTTTTTCTTACCTCGGATATTTGGTCTCGTAGAAGATTTTTGCTGTGATCTGACTTGTTATAACTGAAATCAAATATATTATTGCCACTGATGCTAGTGACACAACAAGACCCGGATGAAGAAACAGGCACCATGTGTGACCAAGATGAGTCAGCGGGGCCAGAAGCCTGAAATTCTTCATGCTCATGTTCGTACAAAGTGCCCCTTTGAGAAGTCTCTTGCTTTATTTCATCAAAGTTATTGGAAACTCCGGAAGCAGTATTAAGAATTTGGACATCCCAGTTTTCCAACTTTTTCTGCTGAAAATCAATGAAACCAAGTTTCTCTTCTTCTCCGGGTAATCCAGTACTGCAAAACAAACAGAACCAGTAAATCTTTCTCTCAGGTAAACAAAAACGAAATCCTTGGACAGGTACTTCATGTGAAAAGAATTTAACTTAAACGCGTAGCTCTTTGATCATTCCGTAGTTAACCATTCTAAGAAACAAATTCTGTAGCATTTACAAGACACGACAAGTACGTTCATAGTAGAACATAGATGAGACCGTCTTGACCGACAGAGAAAAGAAACGAAAGAAATTTACTTACGAAAGCAGTTGGGTCCATGACTGAGGAGGGTCTGGATTTTCGGTGAAAAAATTAAAAGAAATTGAGGAAGGTGGAAGAAGATATTGGGGAGGGATCAAAGATGGTGGATGCATGCTCCACCAGTTAGGAAACCCTGTCATCATTTGCTAGCTGTTCTGGATGAGTTTGATGAGAGAATTTCAAGTAATGTAACCCATCAAATTTTCAATCTTTTTTTTTCCCTTCTACTTTTCCACTTTCACCTTTATGATATATATATATATATATATATATATATATATACACACACACTCAAAAATAGCCTTCACTACATGTTTGAAAGTTTTCTTACTGGCGGTTGAATTACCACTCTGGGGTCTAACAGAGAAGGCGGTTAAGAAGTTTTGTTTTTTTTATAAGCTTTAATTAAGGATTTAATATTTTAATTTTTCTATTTGATTTATGTAAAAAACAGAATAATTTGAGTATTTATATGGAGGATTTATGTATAAATTTTAATTTTCTTAACATATATAAATAAGTTGTAATTAAATCTAGTTATTAATTTGGTTAAATTGTTTTAAAAAATAAAATTACTAAATTAAATCAAAATTTTAAACAGAAAAAATTAAATTAAAAACCCTTAGTGACTATAAAACTCTGAAACTATAATTGTTACATGATACAATTATGACCTAAGTGATTGTTTATGTATTTTTTTATAAATTAAAAAAATTGAAATTTTTACGAATTAACATATGATATATACGAACACAATATTAAGATTCATCTAAAATTATAAGACACAGTTAACACCAAAGTTTCTTTAAAAGAATCCTCCTATTTTTCTTTTTGGCAAAATATATTATATATCTAAAATATTTGTGTATAGTATGGAGATAGATCGAATGATAAACATTAGTAACCGTTTATTAAACTTATGTTAGTTCAGGATTCATTAAAATAATTTATAAATAAAATGTCAAGTCATGAAAGTAAGTATGTCTAACTGAGTTATGATACTTGATAATAAGAAAAAGATTATTAATCAACACTTAACTTGAACATTGGAGTGTATTTTGTAGATAACTTTCATCTAATTTTGACTTAAAGTGTTTGGAATAAGAGTTTCAAAAGTCAAAGAATAGAAAGATCACGACAAAACAGGTGTATCTCTTAATCCTATTAATTACATATAGAAATTGTGTAATCAAATCATATAATATATATATATATATATATATATATATATATATATATATATATATATATATATATATATATATATATATATATATAAAAGTGTCTTTTGCCACTCCTAGCTAGTGCGAGACTTTCTCCAATAGGACCTTCAGCTTATCATCACCTAAAACCTTTCTCGTAATTCAAACTAAATGACTGAAACTAAACCGTATTAGTTTCTTATATATTTCTTTTGTTCCTACGTGAGTACCTTCATTGTAAATTTTATAATGTAACTTAAAAATATTATTTAAAGTCAAATAGAAAAAACAATATATGTGTATATTATGTTAGAAGTCTCACAGCGACTAGAGATAACGTCAAAATATAATATATAAGTGATGTGCAAACCTCACCTTACAAACCGGTTTTATGGGGTTGAGTTAGGCTTAAAGTTCACTACTAATATGGTATCAGAGTCATGAGATGTCTATACCTCGATGTAAAGGGGGTGAGTTGAAAACTCATTTTCTAATATATTAAACAGGAAAATATTATAAGAAATTTCAGTATACATTGTTTTTTATAGTAGTAATAATTATAATGTTAAATGTTTTCTTTATATTTTACATCAATAATTCAGTTTAAGAAACTAAAATATATAGAAATAATGTAGTGGCTGAATAAAAGAAGGAGCAAAGTAGAGAATGATAAGAAATGACAGAAGACGTTTTTGGCAACTACAATACAAATCTAAATCATCATCATCATCATGATGTGGAGGTGAGATTCAAATCACTAACACACCGTTTGCAATATAGACATTGACGTAAATAACTTAAACCCATATAATTGCCTATTATTATTGGTTGCAACTGATTCTACGTTTATGCCACTAAAGACAAGCGGTCAATTAACCATAAAATTCCTGTCCTTATCAAATAATTTGTTACTTTACAATTAATACTTGCGTCATTCTTTTTGTCTAAGAAGTGAAATTTTAAGTTTAATTTAATTTTATTAAATAGACTTCCAACATTTATATATATATATATATATATATATATATATTGATATCATGTGTGAGATTACATGTAAGATTTTAATTTTTCATTTATGTGAGATAACACAAGTTATATAATTTAAAATAAAACTTAATTTTTATTTTATTAAAAATCTCAATAAAAAATATTATTAAGAAAGAAAAATTAAGATTAAAAAATAGTTTCAAATGTTTTTGGATATTGAACTACCAGTGACTCTTTAAAAACGATTTGTAATTCTCGTACTTAGTTTACCAATAACTATTCACCACTAAAACAAGTACATTTCTTGCTTCCTTTTAAGCCTTAAAGATTGAGTCTACTTCTCATTACTCTCATTGGAGAGTTTTTTCCATAAAATATACAGGTGTCTTTTCCATTACAACTAGTTGAATTATCCTTCATCACTTCTCACTAATCACCACAAATAAACATTTAATTATATTTCCAAACAAATATGTTTTAACATATTATCACACTCATACTAAATAACATTTACTCTACAATTTAAACTCATAAAAATATTATATCACACACAAACAAAAAAGCAAGAAAAAAAAAGAAAAAAGAAAAATAAAAAATGTAAATCTATCATCATTAAAATCTTAGATACTCTTAAAATATTTAGGTGATTCTTTTAATAACTATAGAATTATTAGATATATCTTTTTAATAAATTTGTTTAAGAAATAGTCCTAATGTATAATTTATTTATATTATAATAACTATTTTGTATATAAAAAAATATATTATAATAACCATTTTATATATGTCTAAATATTTTCTAATTATTATAATTTTGAAGTCATAACACCTTAAGAAAATGTTGTTTTCCTTCAAAATAAACTAGAGCTATAATTTGTTAGGAGAGTATAAAAGTGCTCATAACTTTTAAGGTGTATGGAAAAATATATATATTGAGGGAAAAGTTTGTAGATTTGAAAAGTAATATCATGAAGGAAAAACACTACATAGCTATCACCAAATCAATTTTGTTTTGACGACTCAAACGATACAAGGAGCTAGGGCCCTACATATTTCAGTCTTATATTTTTTGGAAGTGGTTATTTAAATAATATTAATTTATACTTTGTGAATTAATGTAAAAATTTGTTCTAATTGTAGAGAAAGTTAACAAATTCAAATTTTTCGTTTTTATGTTCTCACTCAACGTTTATCTTTGTACGTATACATTTTGCAGTAAACCATCAAATATGTCATTAGATATAATATCACAATTATAATATTACAAAATATAGTTAGAAGAAGTTGATGTATAAAAATAAGGAGATTTCAAAAGAAAGGTTTTGCACTATGATCCAAAAGCAGGTAAAGAATGCAGAAGATGCATCCAACACAACATTACAATTACCAAACGCCAAGGGCAAGTTTTAGATCGATACTACCACGTGCTCTCTTTCTACTAACTTTTCCGTTTATCATGTCTTTACTCTTTTATTTCTATCTCACAGATAACATCATAACAAACATTCCATAAATTAATATAATTATTCTTTTTTTTTTATTAAATTCTATCTAAAAAATGTATATTCCTCAAATAAAAAATTATATGTAAAATACGTCGACAGCAGGATTCGAACCTGCGCAGGCAAAGCCCAACAGATTTCGAGTCTGTCTCCTTAACCACTCGGACATATCGACGTTCTTGCTTAATTTGAAACAATAATTAAATGTTTCACATTTTATCAAGATCACTTCACTAGATTTACAAGCTTTATTGCTTGAATGGGATTGTAGCATATCGCTTTAACAAGTATGAATTCGAAATTCAGCCCGAGAGGCCCACTGGTGGTGTGTTAAAAGCCCAAGCCCATACAATAGAATAGCAACGGGCTAATTGTCGCAACGATCATAGAACCTTGGCCCATTTCTGATACTTCAAATTGGGCTTATAAATTTAGCTAGTCTTCATTTTGAAATTTAGTTATCTGGAAAGAGGAGATTTAAAATGGAAAAGGAAAAAAAAAATTGTATTTATCGTTAATTTATGAAGATTTAAATTAATAATAAGATACTTTAATTCGAATGAGTAACAAATAGATTGGGATTGTTTCTATGATTATTTAATGGTTGGGGATTATGACATTTTAAGCACGTTTTCATGCATCCCGTGATTTTACTTTTGTCTCTGTGTATGCTTAGGAACACGTCACACCTTTCATTCGCTAACTAAGCTATGGCTACAACTACATTACCATCTTTAATGCAATGATTAATTAGTTGATACAAATTTTCAACGTTTTAGAGATGGGGAGGATTTTTCTTTTCACACTTCTAATTTTCTCAACAATATATATAAGAATTATTTCATATAACTTTTAAATATATTATTGTAAAATTCAATAATGTTATTTTGCATATTAATGATTAAATACTACAACAAAAAATATTTACATTGCTTTAATTAATTATGGCAAACACAACAAATCATTTCATATTGAAATGAAATGCAATGTGCTTAGTTTATTTCATATTGAAAAGTAAATTTTGAGAATCCTAAATACTTAGTTAAGATGAACATTATGTTTGTTTTAAAAATACCATTTGTTGAAGAATATGTCATTTATAAACTAAAACCATAAAGAAAGAAAGAGGAGATAGATACGCATGTTGTTGGGATTGACAATTGGTCACTCGCAGTGTGAAAAAGATAATGCATTCACCAATTCTAAAATGCTCTCATCAACATCATTGCAACTTTTGAAAGTCTTTTCATATCGGAAAGATTCCAAACATATAACTTCCACTCAGAAATTAGGTTGTCACTGTAAATATATGGAATTCATCTCTGTCCTTACTCCTCAGAACCCTGTTCTTCATGTTTTTTTTTTCTTCTGAAGTGCGCTTGGTTGGTGTAGAGAAAGAGACTACTGATACAACCTGTGAAGTTTATCTCTTGTTCAAAAAGTGATCCATATATCTATCTGGGGCACACAACTAATGGTCAGATTCTTTGCACCAAAAGAAACGGATCAGACTCAAAAATATATACATAAAAAGCGATCCACAGATATGTAACAGTGA